AACCACCTACAGGGCTGTTCTATAGTGGTTTTGTAACAGAAAAGCAAAAGCAGCTGTTGCAGCTCCTGTGATTTGAGAAGAAAAGAATCATTGATTAAAAATTGCGGCCTAGTTTTGTGAACTTCTTAGTTTGGTGGTGTTTGTGTTTTGGTTTTTGTTTGTTTGTTTTTTTAAACAGATACTCGTTTCAGTTCTGGACTGTTGATGGCTGCAGAGACTAGGCAGGTTTACCAGCCACTTCCCTCTTCCCCTTTCCCCAGCCTCAGCTACCTGCCCCACAGAATAGCACTGATGTTTGTATTTCGCACGTCCCCTTCAGAGGCTTTGTTTTGTCCTGTTCATAGAGAACATTTTCTGCAGGTCCTTACATGGTGAAACCTTTGGAACTGTATGTTTTTTAAAAATAAATGTCATTGGGGGGGAGGGGGTTTCTAAGGGCTGTACTTGTAATAAATTGGAAACTTCAAAATAAACATTATGTACTTGTGTTTGTAAAACTGGTTTGCAGCAAGTCCTTTGCAGGCGCCCAGAATTTGTGTGGGACTCTCTGGGATGTCTCGCCTCTGCCTTCCCTGGAGCCCCCATCAGACACGATGTTGGTGCCTTCTGGAGCCACAGAGCAAGGGATCAGGGGAACAGCAAGTCCAGGTCAGGTCAGCTCACAACTCTGGAGAACCGTCTTCCAGGCCATGCTCTGCCCAGGTTTGGTTATACTAGCCCCTGCGCTATGCCTCTGTTCATGCTATCACAGTTGGGTTGTGCCGTACCCTGTGTGGCAGGGCTGCTATCACACACCACCTTTCCTAAGCTTTCCTGGGCACAAAATAACATGCTGGTGTGGACGTATGTGCTCTGAGCTGGCCCTGTTGATTGTCCTCCCCAGAGACATTGGATGGGGCTGTGCTCTTACTGCCCCTGGACAGGGGGAGGTCACCAGCATGCAGGAGCAGTCCTCGGGCTGGCCACCTTTTTCGGTCCCTTGTCCCCTGCAGGCTGCCAGTGTGACATTTGTCCTCCTACCTGTGGTAGGAGGCATGTAGAGTGGCACTGGGTAGCTCTCTGGAAGGGAATACAAGGGTGTTACCAGGAAGTTGAAATGTCTTTTGCTCCAGCATTGCCTGGCTGGATGGCCATCAAAACTGCCTCCTGTGTTTTGTTAATATCTGTTTTGCAACTGCAGCCTTGTGGGCTGCAGGTCAGAGATCAGCAAGGACCATTCCCACTATGTCTCTGAAAGCACAACTCCCAACCCACCATCCTGGTCTCTAGCAGCCAAACAGGGACACACTGGGCTCTCTGACATACTGAGTTTCAAAAGCAGCATGGGCTGGGAAGGTGATGGACCAGTGCTGATGTACCACCCATCATCTGCGAAACAAATGTGTTGGCCGAAGTGGTGTCTGCACTTCTGCCAGTGCTGCACTGCCAGGAGGGGTGATGGTTTCATGGGTGTCTTCATTGTCCACCTTGCTCAGGAGCCAAGTTGGGAACACTCAAGCCAGGTCCAGCTCTGCTGGGCAGAGGAAATCCCCTGATGGATTTGAGGTCTTGAAGGCTCTTGGTGATAGACAGATGTTGTTTTCCCCAGAGAAGTCTCATCCCCTCTCCAGAAGGGGTGGTTTGGCTTGCTGGGCATGCAACAGGACCTGGGTGAATCAGAGTGTGACCTGAGCTGGGAGTTTCCAGGCCTCAGCATGGAGACCTCACACAAGCATCTGCTCCAAGACCTTTTTGGAGACTTGCTTTTTATAGAAACCCCTGCATGGCACTAGTGTCCTGTGCAGGGGCTGTAAATAGCTGTCCCAATCCTGGCAGGCTAATGCATGGGGTTGGCGGACAGCTGTGGCCCTGCTGCCCACTGGCACTGTGGACTTGGGGACGGTCACCAGCCTGGCTGCACCTGCTATCTCACTGGGGCACCTGTGTTTTCTGGAGTTCCAGCATGGCCTCAGGAGGCAGCCATGGGGGTGCAGCAGGTGAGGAGCCTTGAGCTTAGTCCCACCTTGGCTTCTTCATGGTTTAATCATTAACATTAACCAATTAATAGTCCAGGTAACTTCGGATTTTTAGCATATTCCCAGAGCACAGCAACTTTCCTTTTGCTATTCAAAACCTGGAGGGAGGGTCCTGCCTTGTGAGGGGGGATAATGTCCACAGCTCATTGAGTGCTGGGGGACACTAGGCTTGACGTCTCCATGCTTAGTTGGACCAGGACCTTGGGGTGTCCTGAGCCCGCTCTCACCCAGTGGTGGCCCCTGCTCAGCCTCTGCAGCTATCTCTCCTGCTGGCACTGGGGCTGGGCATCCATGGCAGTGGTGCCCAAGTTTGGTGAGGGGAGCTGCCCCTGCAGGGATGGGACAGTGCTGAGCCCTGCTTGCCCCTTGCAGAGAGGCTTCTGCAGCTGCCCCCAACCCTGCTGGGGCCTGGTATTTGGCTGCCTTTAGGGCTGCTCCAAGTAGGATGGAGAGGGGATGCAGCGATGATCTTGGGGTGGGGGGATTCAGAGGAAGGCTGAGCTTCCCCAGCATAGGGTTGAAAGCAGCTGTGACATGGGGACAGCTGGTGTCCCTGTCACAGAGCCTTTCCAAGGGGCAGCTCTGCTTTGCAGCAGGCTCTGGAAAAGCTCTGTCTCTGCAGCAGGGCCAGCCATTCCCAGCGCCTCGGGGCTGGCTGCCTCCAGCAGAGACGGGCAGGCTGCTGGAGCTGATCGTGTGCCATGGTCAGGCACCGGCGGCCCCACCGCTGCCCGATAGCTGGGGCCCAGCAGGACCGGTTATCTGGGTGAGCACTCGAGAGGCAGTGAGTTACTTGGCAAGTGCCAGGGAGCTCAAGGGCAGGCTGTCCCTGCTAGGCGCCACGAGCTGGGACATGCGCAGGCCCCAGCACCATTGCTGTGCTGCATGTCTGGGCATGCAAGCCAAAGGTGCACCGACCTGGCTCAGTGCTCAGCACTACAGGGATGCTGCACGCCCCCCCCCCTCACCAGGCTGGACTTTGGAGCCTGTCCCGCCGCCAATCTTGACTCTCCTGCGGC